TATAAACATGTTTAACTGATTCCTACATTTCTTTCATCTTCCTAAACATTTGATATTTACAAGTTAGTCATGTTACACACGTGCATCCACAGCAATGACTGAATGACAGACTTCCTGGATAAGGATTCCAAGGCAGACATCAGAAGGCCATGGACTGAGGGGGAGGAAAGGGCACTAGGAAGGTTCTGCACAACCAGGGAAACCATCACCAGGGTCAGTAGACACAGAGATGAGGGGACATGTTTCCAAAGAAATTATCAGCAGCTGAGAAGCAAATATTCCAGGTAGATGGAGTTTGGAGGTGAGGGGTATAATGACTCTAATGTTCTCCTACACAGAAGGGCTTTTACATAACATAAAACAATTATAACATTACTTGTTGTGGTTATTTATATTAATTTATTTATTATTTACAAAATGAAGATAAAGACTTTGATGTTCCACACACAGAGAAATGACCCTGCAGATCCCTAGCTGCTGTAGGAGACGTTGAGGAGCTAGGACTTCTTCTCTTATGATTTGACACAAACATTGTTTTTAGGGACTTAACAATGCTACAGTGTCCTGTGCATGAGGATAAATATCACATGGTGATTAAAATGATTATAAATTTGGTATAATTGTAATAGTACTCATGGCACAGCATTTGAGAACCTAAGCCTTTGAAATCGAGTGTTCAGACACTTTACCTGTGTGTGGTTTGGATCTGGAGTGTCTGTCCAGGTTTCCTGTGCTGGAGGCTGGTGCTCATGGGAGCAGTGTTCACAGGGAACACGAGCCTTCATCATCCTCAAGGAACAAACTGTATCAGTGAAAGCCTGCTGATTGTTGGAGATGAGTGACTACTAGGTAGTGAGGCTTTGCTGGAGGAAGGTTGGGGGCTCCATCTAAGGACACACTTCGTCCCTGTCTGCATCTTGGCCACCATGAAGTGAGTGACTTGTGAGTCCCATTGTCTTCCTACTATGCAGTGGACCCAAAAATCCATGCAGTTAATGTTCAAACTTGTGAGACAAAATAAGTGAAAAGTAACCTTTGACATTTTTAATAGCTTCTCACTCTTGTGCATATATGTGAGTGTGTGTCTATGCAAGTATTTGTGTGTGACTATACATGTGTATCTGTTTGAGTATGTGTGCATGTGTGTCTGTGTTTATGTATTGTGTTTGTGTATATATGTGAGAAATTATGTATGTGAATGTGTGTATCAGGGTATGCATATGTGTTTCTGTGTGTTAATTTGTGATATATATATATACATATATATATATGAGGAATATGGGTTTGTGTACATGTGTGTGTTTGTGAAAATGTGTGTATGTATGGAAATTTCTGCATGTGTGTGTTTATGTTTGAATGATGGTATATATTTTTATGTGTGGGAATGTGTACATAAATGTGTGTGCTTGAGTGTTTGGTTGTGTCTCTCTGTGCATATGTGTTGAAAATCTGTCTTATGTGTGACTCTGTGTGCGTACATGTGTAGTGGAGTGTGTGTATGTGTATTTCTTTTGTGGGTAATATGTATTTGTGTGTGTGAGTTTGGGTGCACATATTTGTTTAAGTGTGTATTTGTTTCTCTGTGTCTGTGTGTGTATGTGTATAAGCATGTGTGTTCATTTGTGTGTTTATGTATATCTGTGCTTGTGAGTGTGAGTGTAAGTGTATGTGTATGTGAGAATGTGTGATGGTAAGTGTGTATCTCTGTGACCGTGTTTGTATGTTTGTGTGCAAGTGTATATGACAGTATGTGTCTGTGTGCATCCATACTGATGAATGAGCAAGTATGTGTATATCTGTGTGAGTGTGTAAGTGTGTGATGGTGTGTGGGTGCTGTGGGTGAATGCATGCATTGAGGACATGTGTGTAGGTACAAACTTGCCAAGTGTGAAATTGTGGTAGGAGTCCAGTTTACAGGAGTTAGTTTTCTGTTTCAGCCACTGGCTCCAGGAATCAAACTCAGCTCATCAAGCTTGAATAGCAAGCCTTTACACATGGACACCTCATGGAGGCATGACAATATTTGGGTGAATAATAAAGATACACTGATGACACAATTAATGTCTTATATAAATTAATATTAGAGTTAATAAAAGCAATTTGAAGAAAATAACTTAATAAAGCCTTTAAACATTGGAAAATTTAAAATATTTCATTAGCATCAATGCTTTTTTTCTTTTTGATTTTTTTAGACAGGGTTTCTCCACATAGCCCTGGCTGTTCTGAAACTCACTCTGTAGACCAGGCTAGCCTTGGACTCAGAGATCCACCTGCCTCAGCCTCTCAAATGCTGGGATTAAATGTGTGCACCACCACCATCATGGTCATCAATATTTTAATTTAGAAACAATTTGGATCACACTTTACATTATGATTTAAACATATATGAAAATAATATAAATAAAACAGAAATTAGGGTAAAATGAATTTCAATAACTTTTTTCGGGGAGTTTCGAGACAGAATTTTTCTGTGTAGCTTTGTGCCTTTCCTGGAACTTGCTTTGTAGACCAGGTTGGCCTCGAACTTACAGAGTTCCGCCTGGCTCTGCCTCCTGAATGCTGGGATTAAAGGCGTGTGCCCCCACCGCCTGGCTAATTTCAATAACTTTTAAATACAATTTTTAGAGAAAATTTTGTCTTTACAATAGATGTGTAAATTTCAAACAAAGACTAGATCTCTGGTGTAATAGCTAATGACAGTTCTATTTAGAAAAAGAAAGCTGGAAAACAGCTTTCTGAGGGCAGCAGTGAAAGGGGAAGCAAAGATGAAAACCACAATGGTGAGAAAAATTCCCAAGAGAAGCAGAGAGAATGAGTTAAACACAATGAAAGACAACTGGAAAGTAGGGGGAGTGCATTCAGAAAGGGAAACCAGTATTTTTCCCTATTTAAGACAGATGCACACAGCATGGTCTTCAGAGACCCTAAAGGAGAAGGTTCAGGACCACAGAGCCCAGAGGACCAGCAGCATCTGCAACATTCACAATGGCCAGGCCCTCTGCTCTCCTGACATGCCTGGTGGTGATGCACTACCAGTCAAGCTGCCTTCTGGGATGTGACCTGCCTCAGACTCATCACCTCAGGAACAAGAGAGCCTCCACACTCCTGGCACAAATGAGGAGACTCTCCCCTCTCTCCTGCCTCAAGGACAGAAAGGACTTTGCATTCCCTCTGGAGAAGGTGGATGCCCAGCAGATCCAGAAGGCTCAAGCCGTCCATGTCATGGGTGAGGTCACCCAGCAGGTCCTGACCCTCTTCACCTCGGATGAATCATCTGCTGCTTGGGAGACAAGCCTGCTACACACATTCCGTGATGAGCTCAAGGAGCAGCTCAAAGACCTGCAAACCTGTCTGAGGCAGCAGGTGGAGATGGCGCAACCTTCCCAGAGCCAGGAAGACTCCCCGGTGGATGTGAGCAACTACTTCCACAGGATCACAGTCTACCTGAAGAAGAAGAAACACAGCCCCTGTGCCTGGGAGGTGGTCAGAGCAGAAGTCAGGAGAGCCCTGTCTTCCTCAGCCAAGCTGCTGGCAGAATTGACTGAGGAGAAGGAATTAAGTCCTGAGCCAAAGTGATGAGAACTTTCCTGGGCTACAACACTGCATAAATTCTCCTTTTAAAACTCTCATTTATTTTTGACATGAACTCAACCAACCTGAGTAGATGTTTTGGCAAAACAGCACAAATTTTATATGTATGTAAAGGCATTTGTTTCTGCATCCATTTGGATATCTCTTTGTATTCTACATGTGTTTATTTTACTATTTATGTAATCTAAGTTATTTAAGTTAAAACTTTCAGGTTTGTATTTTCTTTAATGTAGTAAACCATCATATGCAATTAAATTATTTTGAATCCCATTCAATTTCGCTGTATAAAATACTTATGATTTGTTAATTCTGTATCTTTTCAAATTTTTCCAGTCTTTTTAAGTTGATACTCTAAACCATAAAAATTTCACAAATGGACACAGTGTTGCCTGGTTGGGAGCCAGAGAATCTTGCTCCTGTCACATTGTGACTTAATCTTCTTTGACATATATTTTCTAGAGGAATCCTCCCTCTGACCTCCATGACCTCTGGTACCTTCCACCTACTCTCAACTTCTATGAGTTTAACAGTTTTGGGTTCCAATTATGAGTGAGCTCATGTACAGTGATAAGAACAAATCACGGAAAAATGATTAGCCTGCCTGAATACCACAGACAAACATACCAAGAAGAAATCAGGAAATGAACCCCATTCATAACAGCCTCATGAAAGATCCCTGAAATACATCCCACCAGGGAGGTAAAACGCCTCAAATATTAATCCTTTGCAACAACACGATTCCCTCTCAATTTTCATGGGTATTTCTTGTCCTCCTACTCCTCTTCCTCCTCCTCCTTCTCACCCTTCTTCTCTTGGAGCTTCCAGTTGTGCATGGATACACGGCCATCACCTGGAGACTAGGTAGCCTCTCTCAGGGGCCCCAACCCTGAGCACAACTGAATCTCTCTCTCAGAAGCTATCAACTGCCACAGTTCCTCAGCTAGAAGAGAACTCTCCTCCATTTTCCAAGCTGGGATTTTGTCCGTCCTGGTGTTGTCCATTCAATCATAGCAACTCTTGGTTCATTAGTGCAACTGTCCTGTTGTATCCGAGAACACTGCTTTGCTGTGGTCATCATCCACTGCCTCTGGGTCTTACAATTCTTCTGCTCCCTCTTCTACAATGATCCTTGGGGCAAGAAGTCAGCCCTTTATTTTGTGTTCATGGATCAGTTGTGGGTCTCTCTGTTTATTGCCATTGACTGTGAGAGGCTTCTGTCCTAAGGGGTAGTAATCCTGCAGTAAGGCTCTCATAGACAGATAGTTGTAATGTGAATTCGGGTATTGTGACCCCACAACACTGCTTTTATTCTTTTCTATCTTCATGGTTCCATATGTGTTTTAAAAGTGATACTTCTGGGAGAAACATAATTTAAATTTTGTATTGTGTAGTGGATTTAATAGTAGTGGCCCCCATTGACCTATGTGTTTGAATGCTTGGCCCATGGGGATTGGCACTATTAGGAGGTGCAGCCTTGTTGGAGTAGGTGTGGCCTTGTTGTACGAAGTGTGTCACTGTGGAAGTGGACGTAGAGGTCTTATATGCTCAAGCTAGGCCTTGTGTGGTAGTCTCCTGCTGCTGCCTGTGGATCAGGGTGTAGAATTTTCAGGTCCTTCTCCAGTACCATGTCTGCCTGCATCCTGCCATGAAGTTAATTTTGGGAACTGAAACTGCAAGCCAGCCCCAGTTAAATTATTTCCTTTATAAGAGTTGCTGTGGTCATGGTGTCTCTTCACAGTAATAGAAACCTTAACTAAGACAGATTGCATTGAACCTGAACATCTCTAGGATATGGAGTCACTTTCATAGCAACATTGTAGTTAATCAACATAGATCTTTTCCACTGAATCTTAGTAGGTAATGTTGTTGCTGCTGCTGTCTCATTTGGATGACACGCCGGTTCATTTCTTCAGCTTCATTTCCAATGGCATCATATTTTTTGGTTCATTGCCACAGCCAACATCAGGGTTTTCTTCCTAGGAAAAAAGAAAAGAGAAATACAACAGATGTGGAAACGTCTATCATCAAACCAACACTTCAGGAAAAGACAGAAAGAGTGACTGGAAAAGTATAGACAGTTGAAGTACTGAAAGCCTTTGCTGTCTTTGAAAATAGCCTGAACCCCGGTACAATTAGTCACATTGGAACTGAGTATTAGCCACTGAAATCAGTAAGGAATTGATGGCTTACAAATACTTTATATAGGGATCAATGTCCTAGCCCAACACTGAAGTGGAAGTATGTATAAACATATATATTATACATGATGAACAGTTTAATAGCAGCACATGCTATATATAATAATGTACATATATGTGCACACAGCTTTCTTTCTGATATACTCCCAGTCCCTCTCTGCTTTCCCAGACCCCATCTTTCAGCCTCATCGCCTGGGTTTCCTCCCTGATGTGGGAAGACACAGTGTTTGCTCCTCATTCTCTCCTCATCAACCAGCTCTGCCATTCAACAACTAATATCTCTTACACCTTGCTTTCTGGCTATTATTTTTTCTGAAAATGCATAACCACCAGGCGAAATAGAATATGAAGCAATAATGTAAGAAGCTCTCATGTGAGAGAGTTTCCTCTTTTTTTTGTTGTTATTGTTGTTTTGTTTTAATCAGAGTGTTCTTAAAGACCTAATGCTACCTGTGGTCAAAAACAGAGACGGGGTAGGAGGAAGGGGAGGGTGGGGAGAGTTAGAGGCAGTGGGAGAGAGAAGGGGAGGGGGAGGGGAGGGAGAGGGCCAGGGACAGAGGAAACAATCTGCCACGCTGGCAAACATTTAGAGAAGAAGAGAGCCCCTACAGCCATCACTTTCAAAGAAGAAATAGTTTAACTCTGGTGTGTTTTCTTTAGAAATTTTTTCCTAGAAGAGTTTTTCTCCACAGCTAAAACAGGCATTTTCCCCAGAAGAACTGACATCAGTTTGGAAGACTCAATTCCCGTCACTTCTCATCTGAGGGAGGGAGCACCCTCCCAGGTCCACACAGGTCATGCCTTCTGGACAGTGGTCTGCTCAACATGCACAAAACAGTCACTAAGGCTTTTTCCCCTCTAGTCTTCTATAGAGGAGGTTCTTTGGAGAAGGAGGAGTCTGTGTGTAGTCCCCTCAGTTGATAACTACAACCAAGCTCTGTGTCTGACCTCACATCATTTTGACCAGTAGGTAAAACATTTGTAATGTGTCATGTAACTGAGCAAACCATGCCCCAGCTAGGAAGGATGTAAAATAATGTCTGAACACTCAAAGGAGATTCTCCCCCTGCTGCTCTGCCTACTGAGACCAGCAACACTGGGCTTGGGAAATGCACTGACTTATGACTGTTGTTTAAAGGGTGACTTCAAAAGTTCAGGTTACCTCTCCACAATAGAACATGTCACAAGGGGCAACCTGAATCCTTGTTACAGACAATATTACAGTCACTCTTAACTGGTACAGAATGAACTAGTTCTTATTCATACTGGATTAAGATCTGTGTTTTTCAGGGTCACAGATCAACAGCCCAGAGTATCTTGACCCAACAGCCCCTTTGCATTCTTCAGTACAGATGTAGGGAAGAAGACAATGTCCATCTATAGGTTCAGCTGCCAGGGAAACCCTAGACTTCCATCCACTTCATATATATATACATATATATAATACTTTGGGAATTTCACATCATGCACCCCAATCCTGCACCCCCCCAGCACTCCCATATCTATCACTCACCCCTTCAGCATTGACCTCTGACAGAAATTAATTAAAAGCAAAATGAAACAAACATAAAAACCCACCTCAACCCACTGTCTTTCCCACATCCCCAACTCTTCTTCATTTGTACTAATGACATCAGGAGATTCAGTATGTCACACAGTATACCTTTCTCTTCAGTCAGCCTCACCCTCAAATGTTCTTTGCAGTGAGTCATTGGTCTGATTCATGGCCTCTGGTCTCTGGCACACCATCATTGCTGGATCCTACAGAAACTCCCCTAATATCCTGTTATTGCCCCAAGTCAGTCATAGAGATGCTGGGGTTATTGTTCTGCAGGACCAGTTCTCTCAGATCATAAATGGGATCATTGATAGGGTGGGCCAACCCATTAGCTAGGATGTGGGTCTAAGTGGTAGCTGAACTCCTCAGTTTGGGCTGCTAGGACCAAGCCCCTCAGGTGAGGGTTTGAGACAACTCTTCTATACCAGTGCCATTGGGGCCAGCTCTCCAATGCCCACAGTGAGGGGTGTGGTGCTATATATCTCATGAGGGACTGGGCCAGCTCTCCTGCTGAAATGTCCAGTAAGGGGCAGAGCTAGCCATCCCAGGGCCAGTGAAGGACAGGTGGGCTCAGCATGGCCCTTGGATTTCAACATGTAAAGTTCTTATGGACCTCTGTGGTAACAGGGCCCATGGACATCAACACACACACACCAGTGCAGCAAGATGGTGGACCAAGATATGGCCTTCAGCAGTAGCTCAGGCCCACATGTCTCATCAACTCCTTGTTTTTGCGGGGGCAGGGTGATTTCTGAGAGATCAGAGAGACAGAGCAAGCTACCACTAACCACACCTTGCCAGCTTCTCAGTTGATTCTGTTTCCTCAAATTGGAAGCCTCCGAGTCCTCATCCAATTGGATCTCAGTTGAACTGCTGCTAAAAGCCTAAATGCTTAAAAAGCTTCTAGTTCCTGGTCCTTATGCCTTATATACCTTTCTGCTTCTAGTCATCACTTCCTGGGATTAAAGGTGTGTGTCACCATACCTGGCTGTTTTCAATGTGGCCCTGAATTCACAGAGATCCAGATGGACCTCTGCTTCCCGAATGCTAGGGTTAAAGGTGTGTGCTACAACTGCCTAAACTCTATGTTTAATATAGTGTCTGTTCTGTTCTCTGACCCCCAGATAATTTTATTGGGATGCACAATATATCAATCACATTTCTCCTTTTTTGTTTAAAAATGAAGTTGCTGGGCAGTGGTGGCACACACTTTAATCCCAGCACTCAGT